TTAGGCTCAATCTTTGACACAAAAAAACATTTGATATAGCTTTCCTTGATCTGGTGACTACTCCTTGTCTAGGATTTCCTATTATCAGCTACTTAGGGTGATCCTTTTTAATTATGAGAGAAGGTCCTCTGTTAGTTGCCTGAGGTTCTTCAACTTCAGAATCAACACTTGAGCCTGCAAAATTTGTGGTAGATGTTGTGACATTTTCTTCAGCAACCACATCTTCTATAGGAATAGTTGTGTCAACTTCTTATAGGAAATCATCTTCTTTAGTTGAGTCATCAACAATCACATTTGAAGACTTCCTCATAACCTTAGTTCTGGAGTTGAATACGCTATATGATTTACTGCTTGTAGAGTATCCCAGAAAAATTTCTTCATCACTCTTAGTATCCATCTTCCTTCTTGGCCCACGATCAGCCAGAATATAGCATTTACTTCCAAAGACATGGAAATACTTGACAATTGGCTTTCTTCCTCTCCATAATTCATACATAGTAACAGAAGTTCCATTTCTAATTTTCACTCTGCTGTGAATATAGCAAGCAATGTTCATGGCTTCAACCCAAAAGTAAATGGGAAATTTCTTGGCATGGAGCATAACTCTGGCACACTCTTGAATAGTCATGTTATTTTTCTCAACCACACCATTTTGTTGAGGAGTGATGGGTGAGAAAAAATCATGACTAATCCCTTCAGAGGTACATAATTCCTCAAACTTGTTCTTCTCAAATTCCTTCCCATGGTCACTTTTGATCCTGACAACACCATAATCTTTTTCTCTTTGAATCTTGTGGCATAATTCTTTAAACACTTCAAACACCTCAAACTTCTATTTGATGAACTTCACACAAGTGAATCTTGAGTAGTCATCAACAATAACATATGCATACCTTTTACCTCCAAGACTTTCAACCTGTATAGGTCCCATCAAGTCCATGTGAAGAAGCTCTAGAAGTCTTGAGGTAGCAAGATGTTAAATCTTCTTATGGGACATCTTTGTCTGCTTCCCAATTTGACATTCACCATAAATTCTCCCTTCATAAATATTTATCTTGGGACTATCTCTAATAGCCTCCTTTGATAGGATCTTCTTCATGCCCTTTAGATGTTGATATCCAAGCTTTTGATGTCATATGTTTACTTCATCATCCTTTGACAATAAGCATGTTGAGAGACATTCTGGAGAATTCCATAGGTAGCACTTGTCTTTTGACCTGGTTCCCTTCCTAACCACTTCATTCTTATCATTTGTAATCAGGCATTCAAATTGAGTAAAGTTAACATTGATACCTTGATCACATAGTTGACTAGTACTTATCAGAATTACTGCTAGCCCTTTCACAAACAACACATTATCTAGACTAGGTTGTCCAACATAATCCACTTTTCTCACTCTTTTGATTTCACTCTTTGACCCATCTCCAAAAGTGACATAGCTAGTGGCACGTGGTTTAATGTCCACAAGGAATTTCTTAATACCAGTCTTGTGTCTGGAACAACCACTGCCAAAATACAAATATTCTCTAGTTGAGGCTTTGAGCAAAGTGTAAGCTATGAGTCCATATGAATCATGATGAGAAGCTCTTCTTGACTTGGCCTTAGTATTAACATCTTTCCTTCTGTAAGGAGTCCTATGGTTGGAATAGCCATACAGTTGGTAGCAAGAGTATTTCAAATGACCAAGCAATCCATAATGGTGATATCTCCGTTGCTGATACATGGGATTATAGTATCTTCCCTGATGTCTCGGATGATGTTGGGACATATGCCTTGACATCTTTTGTTCTTGTTTCATCTTTTGGAGAACAAACTCCACAACTTGCTCGTGGTTCTTTTCAGCTTGGTTATTGTAACCATGACCCCTCATATTTCCAACATTAACCCCAGTCTGAAGAATCTCATTCAACATAGCAGTGCCATTATTTAGCATTCTCATAGATTTGGTCGTATTGTCAAACTTTGATTTTTACAATATTACCTCCTCTCTAAGATTTGTAATGATAGGTAGGTGATCTTCTTTCTCCGCCTCCAGTTGAGCAATAAGTATCTTTTGCTCCAATGTTCTTTGACCCATTCTATTATTTTTGAGGCACATCTTTGTGAACTCAGTAGCCAGTTCACTAACTGTGAGTTCTCCAACATATGATTCTTTATCAGATTTACAAGATTCTTTATCAGATCCACAAATTCCAGTCAAGGCAGTCACCTTCTTGGCTGAATCTTCCTCATGACCACTTTCAGATTCTCCATCTGACCATGATACATATAGGCTTTCCCTTGCTTTTTGAGGTAGAGGCACATTCAGTTCTTATGTGACCATATCCCTCACATTCATGGCATTGGACACCTTTCCCTTGGTTTGGCTTCTCTTCAAATCTTGACTTCCTACCCAGATCCTGGTTTTTATTGATGTCGTATGACATGTTCTTAGAACCCAACCTGGACTTCCTCAACACCCTTCTAAACTGTTTTCCCAGCAGTACGAGAACCACAAATACGCCTTCCGAGTTCATGTTTCCTTTATCTTATGAGTCTTCAACACTAGAAGCAAAAGTTATGCTCTTCTTCTTTTCAGATATTTTGTTGATAGAAGGCTCAAAAGTCTTAAGTGAACTTACAAGTTCATCTACTGTCATAGTGTTTAAATCTTGGGATTCTTCAATAGAAATCACCTTCATGTCAATTCTCTTGGGAAGAGATCTAAGCATCTTGCTGATCAGCTTATCCTCTGATATCGTCTCTCTCAGGTCTTCTAAGTCATTAGCAATATTTAGAACAATAATGTGAAAGTCATTAATACTCTCATCCTCCTTCATCTTCAAGTTCTCCAATTTGGTGCAGAGAAGTTGAAGCTTTTCCAATTTAACCTTAGGATTTCCTTCATGGACCTTTCTCAAGGTCTCCCACATAACTTTTGCATGTTTACAATTCTTTATCAGCTTGAAAATCTTTTTTATCAACTCCATTGAATATGGCATTCAGTGCTTTGGAGTTTCCTTGAGATAACGCCTCATCCTTATCATCCCAATCTTCTTTAGGCCTCAGGACATCAATGGCCTTATCTTCTGCATCCACAACCTTCAGTGGATCCCATCCTTTGACAATATTTTTCCAAGCCTTGTCACCCAAGGATTTTATGAAGGTTTCTATGCATAGTTTCCAACTGTCATAGTTGGCACCATCCAAAATAGGCATTTTAACCACACTTCTAAAATTCTTGTCCATTGCATAAGAAAGTAACTTCTCTGAATCTCACCCAGAGTCAAAGCATGATGCCTTCTCTGATACCAATTGAAATTCTGGCTATCAGATCCCAGATGTCCTAAGAGATGTCGAGACACCGGATCCGACTTCACACGTAACATCAAGATGGATGGACACAATAAACAGTGTTGAAATTAAATAACACAAGATATGCTTACCCAGTTTGGAATAACCTTCCTACTCTAGGAGCTACCAAGCCAGAGACGAAATTAACTAGATAGTATCTATTTGTAGACCTCACAACAAACATCCCAGTTTATAGCCTACACACTTAATCACTATCCTTTGCTCAATTTCTACCTAAGACACACCTAAGTATGAAGCCTTTCTCAAATCCCTCTTCAATTACACTCAGCAATTGGAGCAACTCTAAACACAATTAGAGAACCAAACTGAAAGTCACTCTTCCAAGACACACAAAACTCAATGCTTAAAAGCTTATGAGAATTGACACACAAATACTCAATGCTTAACAGCTTATGAGCATCTGACACACAAATGTTCAATGCTTAAAAGCTTATGAACATCTGACACAACTTACAATCCAACAATAAAGATTCTAAAACCCTAACAAAAATACACACGTAAGTTCCACCGAATACTAGGTATAAACTAATCTATTTATAACTTTATTCTGGACTGGGTTGGGCTTCAAAACCGCAATAGTGAGGTTGTACAAATTCTGCAAAATCTTCTCCAAGAAAATAGGTCTTCAATCATTAGTTTTCTAAAATGTCTCCATATTTAGAAATTAAGAAAATCTTCGAAAACCAACATAAAATATTCTGATTTGTCAATCTTTGACGCCACATAAGTTAACTAAATATTCCCTGAATATTCAGTAGCTAACCAATCAACTAAATTATAACTGTCAGCTGCTGCAAACACGATGTCCTATCTCCTAATTGGGACATCTTACTTGACATGTTGAAAATTGAAAGTTGGAACATCTTGTTCAACGTGCTGCTGTCAAATTGGTTTTACCAAAATATATGTCAATCATAATTTCAGAGAAATAATATATATATATATATATATATATATATATATATATATATATATATATATGTATATATATATATATATATATATATATATATATATATATATATATATATATATATATATTAAATCATAAAAATTATAAATCTTAATTTAAATTTAAATTCCAAATTATGAAAAAATTATAGCAATTTATTTTCCAAAACTTAAATGTTATTATTAATAACATAATAGTATAAATAAATAAATAAAACTACTATATATATATATATATATATATATATATATATATATATATATATATATATATATATATATATATATATATATATATATATATATATATATATATATATATATATATATATATATATATATATATATATATATATATATATTGTAATTTAAATTTTAAAATACAAGTTATATATTATTAAAAAAATAATATGAATTAAAGATAAATTATAAATTTATAAAAATATAATAATCGTATAGTTGTATTTATGAGTATGAGGTTGGCAATATCTATACATAAGAAGCAGTTTAAAGTTGTCCGTCTTAATTAAAAATAAAAAGTATTATTGTTGTGCCTTGATTTTTCAACACATGAGATTAAGTATTAGACTCCAAATCCTATAAATAGCACATACGCAATAATTTTTTTCAATTCATAACAAAATACACAGACACCTTCTTAGTACCTTATCTAGTTCTTTTAGTCCTCTCTATACATGGCTCGTTTCAATTCTGCTTTACTCATCATCACTATGCTTTTCTTGACCATGTATTCCTTACCATCTTCTATAGATGCTCGAAAGATTCTCAAAATGGAGACACAAGAGGTGCCTTCTTCAAAGGGTACCCTACCTTTAACTGATGTTATTAATAATCTCAACATTTATAGAAATGGAAGAGTCGTTGCTCATCTTGCCAACAATGGAAGAGTTCTTGTATCTTCTGTTCCTAGCCCAGGTGCTGGAAACTAGTTATCTTCAATAATAATCATTCATAGCCCGGGTGCTGTTGTAACATATATATTTGCTTCATGTCCAACTTCATCTTTTCGATTCTCCCTATTCAAGAATGATATCAAGGAGTTCTTGGACATTTTGGAAAGCTTGCAATATGATATACAACCCATATTTGAATTGATTTTGAATATTCACCTTGGAACTATATGAAATAGTGCCATGAAGTTGAGTCAAAATCCTGACCAAATTAGGGCAAAATTTCACTAAGTGTTTAGTTTTATGATCCTATGTTCTTGAAATTATAACTTGAGATCCAAGCACTTTTGCCCTTTTGGAGTTTTGATCAAATTTCTTGAGGGATTGTGGTACAAACTTGATCAAATGATACATATGAGTTTAAAATGTTGACGTGGATAAAAAATTATGAGTTTTGACTGTAAATTGGCCATGGTTGACTTTTTCCCCAATATAGTTGATTTTTAGGTCCACTGTTCAATTGACTGATTAAAAGTGTTATCCAAGGCTTGAAACTTGACATGAGTAATCATGGGGGTCCATAATGGTCCATGAAAGTAATATGAGGCATAGAAAGTTCAAAAATCCTTGTGCAAACTCAAACCCTAATTTTGGTCATTAGTGCTTGAGGAGGTGTCTTGAGCTGATCAAACCTTAGTGCAGTCTTGAGCCCAAGGAGATCTTGTAAGCAAATTCTTGATAAGTGAGAGGGAAAATTTCGGGGTACAACAGCTTCCCCTGTTCAATCTTCTTAAACTTGAAGAGTTAGATAGGCATGCCTTGCCATTCGTGACTCGGAAGTGGAAGATGATTGGACACTAAAGTGCCTAGAAATTTGCACTCAACGATGTGATGGTAGAGGGAGTTGGCTTAAAGATTCCATTTGGAGAGGTGATAGAAAGTTGTAGGAGACGGGCTTAAAGATGCCATCTAAAAGTGATTGTTTGTGTTGTAATTTGTAAGCTGAAAGAATGAGTATCAGAATGGCGTCCGTGTCTGGATCGTATCTGAACTGTATCTGGGAGCTGATTTTGAATGATTATCAGAATGACATCCGTGTCTAGAGCGTATCTGAACTGTATCTGAAAGCTGGTTTTGAATGAGTATCAGAATGGCATCCGTGTCTGGAGCGTATATGAACTATATCTGAGAATTGAATTTGAGTGAGTATCAGAATAACATCCGTGTATGAAGCGTATCTGAACTGTATCTGAGAGTTGAATCTGAATGAGTATCAGAATGGCATCCGTGTCTAGAGCGTATCTGAACTGTATCTGAGAGTTGAATTTGAGTGAGTATCAGAATGGCATCCGTGTCTGGAGCGTATCTGAACTGTATCTGAGAGTTGAATCTGAATGAGTATCAGAATGGCATCCGTGTTTGAAGCATATCTGAACTGTATCTGAGAGTTGAATTTGAATGAGAATCAGAATGGAATCCGTGTCTGGAGCGTATCTGAACTATATCTGAGAGTTGAATCTGAATGAGTATCAAAATGGTATCCGTGTCTGGAGCATATCTGAACTGTATCTGAGAACTCTGAACATTGTTAATGATAGTTGTTAATCTTATCCTGAAAAGGGTAAAATGTTAGCTAAAATGCAGGGTCATGTTGTATGAAATGTATGATATAATGCATTCATTTTATCGATGTTTATGATATACAGATGCAATGTATGCGTATGTGAGCTAGTCTGTTGCGCTGTTTGTTGGATTGGGGAAACTAAATTTCTGAATGTTGCTAAGGATATGAAAGTATTCATGTCTTGAAGTCGAAGTGTTGATGAATTTCCGTTTAGAGAAATAAACTCTGTTATAAGGGAAATGCCATGTACTTCTTAAAAAATCTGTTTGGGGAATCTAGAGAAATTGGATGATTTCTACCGGGGATTGATAATTGGAAGTTTTGTTCCGCTAGGGATTAAACTGTACACTAAGGGGATTTTTTTTTGGAAAATAACTTGGAGAGATTTCCCTATCCCTTAAAGCCATTAGTAATTGTCTTTTATTTTGCTAATTTGTAAACAGTAATTATGTTCAAATTCATATGTTCAGCAATGAATCATTGGACGTTTTTGTAAACAAAACACAAGAGTAAAGAAAAACAGATAGTTTTGTACTTTCAAAGGAATATCTTTGTATTGACTTTGAGTAAGCATTTTTGTACAGTGAGACAAATATTCTAGTAGGAGAACGCCGTCGTAAAAATGAAAATTTTAATACAAAGAAAAGATAGCTATGTGTAATCATCCCATAGGGTTCCCATTCTGCTATAACATTTGTATCTCTGAGCATCTTGTTTATTTGTTGCCTTGTCCGAAGATGATTGAACTGATCAGAAACTCTAAGTTTGCCAGTTGAAGCCAAAGGTTGTCCGTAAGGTGATCTGACGGGACATAGTCATACGCTCTAATTCCCTAACTTTTGCCTGGACCACCCTTTCGGGTTTTCAGTCCACCGGGAAACCCTTTTTTGCCCAAGTCGCCCTTTCGGGTTTTCAACTTGCCGGGTGTACAGATTTTTTTGTTTTATCCCTAATTTTTTCTGAACCTTTTGGTTCGCCGGGATGCCCTTGTTTTGCCCAGGTGTGTCAACCTAGCGGGTCTCTTATGCATAGTATCTTTTGACTATGTCTGTGTTCAGAGGGTGCGGTAGGTCGTCACCATCCATGGTGGTCAAGATCATTTCTCCACCAGAGAAAATGTTTTTGATTACAAATGGTCCTTCATATGTAGGAGTCCATTTCTCCCTGGGATCGCCTTGCGGTAGTATGATACATTTGACCACCAGATCTCCAACTTGATACACTTGGCGTCTGACCTTTTTGTTGAAAGCTTTGATCATCCGTTTTTGATACATTTGACCATGGCATACAACAGTAAGTCTCTTCTCATCAATTAAGTTCAGTTGATCAAGTCGGGTCTGGATCCAATCGTCTTCGTTCTGCCCTGCATCCTTCATAATCCTCAGAGAGGGGATATGGACCTCGATAGGCAAGACAACCTCTATGTCGTAAACCAGAGAATAAGGTGTTTCCCCATTTGATGTGCGAGCCGTGGTACGATACCCGTGGAGAGCGAATGGTAGCATCTCATGCCAGTGTTTGTATGTGTGTCATTTTCTATATGATCTTTTAATGTTCTTATTTACAACTTCGACATCACCATTCATCTTCGTCCGGTAAGGAGAAGAATTGTGATGTTGAATAGTGAACTGCTCGCACAAGGTGGTGATTATAATGTTGTTGAGATTTGTACCATTGTCAGTGATGATCCTTTCTGGGATACCGTACCGGCAAATGAGGTTTTGCTTGATGAAACGGGCAACAATATTCTTGGTAACGGAGGCGAAGGAGGCTGCTTCAACCCACTTTATAAAATAGTCAATGGCCACTAGGATGAAGCGGTGTCCATTGGAGGCTGTTGGCTTGATTTCCCCAATCATATCAATTCCCCACATAGCAAAGGGCCAAGGAGCCGTTAAGACATTCAGAGGAACCAGAGGTACGTGCACCTTATCAACATAAATCTGACACTTATGGCAGGTTCGAGAGTGTTGATAACAATCTGCTTCCATGGTAGACAAGTAATAGCCTGCCCGTAGAATTTTCTTTGCCAACGTATGCCCACTAGAATGGGTGCCAAAAGTGCCTTCATGCAATTCAACCATGATCCTTTCAGCTTCAACCTTATCTACACACCGAAGTAACACAGAGTCATGATTGTGTTTGTACAAGATGTCGTTACTAAGGAAGAACTTAGCGGAGAATCTCCTTAAGAACTTCTTGTCATTAACTGAAGCTGCTTCCGGATATTCTTGAGCCTCGAGATACCTCTTGACTTCGTGAAACCAAGGCTGGTCCACTATTTCTTCAATATTAATCTCGTAACAGTGTGCTGGTTCATCCCTTTGTTCGATGGTGATTTAGGGATCCTCGTTATCCCATTTAAGTTTAAACATGGATGACATTGTGGCTAGTGCGTCTGCTAGCTGATTTTCTTCTCGCGGGAAATGCTTGAAGGTAATCTTCTCAAAATATGGTAGCAACGTCAAATTATGTTCTTTGTAAGGGATAATGTTAGGGTGTTTGGTGTCCCATTCCCCTTTGATCCGATTGATGACCAAAGCTGAATCTAAGAACACACTCAAAGATCTGATCCCTAAGTCTATGGCAGCTCTGAGACCAAAGATGCACGCTTCGTATTCTTCCATGTTGTTTGTACAATTGAAGCAGAGTCTGGCAGTAAAGGGAGTATGACACCCTTCCGGAGATATGAGTACAACACCGATACCATTGCCAAGTGCGTTGGATACCCCATCAAATAACATGGTCCATTGGGATCCTTGTTCAGGTCCGTCATGTGGCCTGAATTCTTTACAGTTGTCTAACGTCATGATATCTTCATCCGTAAATTTGAACTTCATGGATTGGTAGTCTTCCACGGCTTGGTGAGAAAGGTGATCAACTAATACACTGCCCTTTATTGCCTTCTGGGTGGTATACTGTATGTCATACTCTCGAAGATGTATTTTATCAGATCCATTTTAGATATCAATAAAGTAGTATGAGTCAGCATATACTGTCTTAGCCGGCGAGCAGCCCATGCCAAAGTGCAACAAGTTTTCTCAAGCAGTGAATATCTGGTTTCACAGTCGGTATACTTTTTTCTTAGGTAGTAAATAACACGCTCTTTTCAGCAAGACTCGTCATGCTGCCCCAATACACACCCCATTGAGTTTTCTAAAACAGTCAGATACATGATCAATAGTCTTCCCTCGACTGGTGGCATCAACACAGGAGGCTCTTGTAAGTATTTTTTGATTTTGTCAAAAGTAACTTGGAACTCGTCATTCCAGTTGACTACTTGATCTTTCTTCAAAAATTTGAAGATTGGCTCACAAGTAGCTGTCAGGTGAGAGATGAATCTGACAATGTAGTTCAAACGCCCCAAGAATCCTCTGACTTCCTTCTCAGTACAAGGATCAGGCATCTCTTGTAT